CGCATGGGCTACAGTCTACGCCCCGCAGCTCCCTAACCCTCAATACCCCATCACTTAACGCTCCCCTTATTGCTGCCTTCCCCTTCCCTTCCCCTGTGTGCTTATCACTAGGTGGGGGCCATAAATCAGAAGGCTATCTAAACTTTTAACTACAATTTGTACCTCTTTCTTTTCCCCCTCTTGCCGATAAATGACATTTAATTGGTGGTCGTCTGGTCACATATTTTTGTTGTTGATTTTCGATTTCCGAATTTATATATTTATTTATTTCCTGTCCTCGAACTTTGCTCAGGCAAAAAATTTCGTGAGAATTTTTTGATTTTGTGCAAAAGAATGTTTCGGCAAGGTCTGAAATTAACAATTAAATATATTTGGGGGCACAGAAATATGTTGGAAAATTTGTATAATTATGGAATGACAAATAATGGCTTCCGATTTTGCAGAGAATTAATTATAGATTAAATAGTTTGATGGAATATGTTAAGAAATTATTTCTTTATCGTATTTATTATTATTTATTTATTATTTATTACGAATCTATGGCTATAGCCACCCATTGAAAGCTATCTATCTTAGCATTCTCCATTGTTCCACAGCCATGATACATTTCGCATACAAATCTGATTGATAAAAAAGGTTTGCCTCAGCGCGAATTAATCAATTCTTTTGATTTGGATTTTGATTTTGGGGGTTTGGGGTTCAAAGTCGTTTCAATTGTGTCATACCAGTGTACGTTACGTACTGCTGATATCTGATGTGCAGTTGGGGTTTTATGATTGCCATAAGCCTGATATCTACTGGTGGTAGCTTTTATGGACAGTACGAAATATTTGATATCGAAAATCGCAGTTTCTCATATCAGCGAGGGTGAGACTGAGACTGAGAATCGATCGAATGCCGTGTCAATCCTAATTTCAATATTCAAACAGCGAACGTGACCAAAATGCAAGGGTTCGGTTCGGTTCGCTTCTTTCACGCTGGAAATTGATTTTTCTTTGTCAAACATTCCAAGCGATGATAAACCGAACACCGAACAGAACACAACCTCTCCGGGTTCGAGGCCATAAATATTAAAAAGAAAACAAAATTGTGGCTGGACTGGACTCGACTCGCGGAGTAATTCTATTTTCTTAATGTTGCATGGCACTATGCGGAGAGTTTTTTCCTTGTGGGTTGGCATTTACCTTTGTGTACTTATCGGTCGCTTCGCTTACTTTATGATACTTTTACTCTTTCGATTTTACAACTGGCCTCACAGAGGATATTGACATGTTTAGATGTCGTTATGTATTTACCTCAGGATCGTAAATCATAACGCGTGTGCGGTGACTATCTACACAAGCCTGTGCCCACCTTTCTGCCACCCTATCTGTGTGTGTGTGTGAGTGTGTGTAGGTTTGTATCTGGCAGATACAAGAGTTTGTTGCAGAGACCAGAGACCTCAATGGCATGAGTGGCTTTCCTTTTATTTGGCGTACTGTCTGGCTGGCTGGCTGGCTGGCTGGCTGGCTGGTTGTTGGGTTTTTGGATATCTTTATTATAGATTTACAATGCCCAATTTTCGTCTACTTGTGAGAAGTTGAAAAATATATGACAGGCGATGAGTTGCCAATGATTACGACGTGTGTCGTAAACATTTCATAAATATTGCTCTGATTTTCGTTGCGACAATTTGTTATTGATCAATAAGTTGGTAGGTATTGCAATCACACAAAATGCATGCACGGGCAAGGGAGTCGACAATGGAATGCCCTGCACAGGGGTTTTAGAAATAATTAAATTTAAATTTAGAAATAATTAAATTTAAATATTTAATATTTGAAAGACAGAAAATTATAAAATTTAAAATTATTTAAAATACAAAAGTACTCTTAAAAATTCTCTCTCTATTTTGCCAAAGATCTATAGACATTAAATCCAAGATTTTTGCTCGAATTCTTGCCGTTTCTTGGCATATTCCCAAGTCGCTTGCAGAACCTTTAATACTAAATAATAAGAGACTTTTAATTTACAACAATCTTCAAGCGATTTAACTTCAGGCATGGTAAAACCAAAGTTGACCTATAATTCAATTCTTTCTGATTAGCAAACCTCTTGAAACGTGTTCGTATGTATACTTGTATGCGGCACTGTATGGGTGTGCGATTGGCAAGCGTTTTGGTTTATTTATTCGATAGGATATTTCGATTGCCTGTTTAATTGATTTGAATCGCTGTTCAATTGTTTGGTGTGATTGAAAATGGCTTAACAAATTTATTATTGAATTTATATCGATGGACTTGGTGCACCATATATAAGGTATGTGCCACAGCGATGGGCCGATAGTCGGAGTCACAGTAAATCATGAATATAATTTATGGGTGCGAATGTTTACTTCTGATTTCCAAGGCGGCAGCCCAAGCAGCCCGGTTCTGATTTTTGCTGGACTGATATCATTCGAAAAGTATGCTTGTTCGCTGTATCTATGAATCAATGCTGTGCTGTCGTCTACGTTCAACTAATTTGTGTTCTTTCAGGCATTTAACCCATGACCTGCGCAGACTATTAGTTGGCATTTAGTCTGGTCTGGGGGGGGGGGTCTGAGCAATATTCATAATTTAACTTAATTCGTGAGTCACTCACGACTCGCGACTCGCGTTGTTGTTTGCTTACTTATGTGTGTCCGAAGCATTAGAGAAGTGTCACCATTAATTGAGTTAGTCACTAGAAGGCGTACTAGAACGAGTGCGAGTACGAGTACGAGTATGACAAACACTCGAGATGATCCCACACACACACACACACACAGACATGGGTGTGGGTACTTGATTGACCTTTCGGGGCAAGGTTGTGTAATTATGTGGGAGATATCGTTATTAGCTTCACACTCTGGGAACGATATAATTTGCACAATTAAAGGCACACCACACATTTATAGCACACATTCAAGAGCTCCCAACCCAGAACCCCCGCCAATTCTTGAAAAGTAATCAAGTTACTGGGATTTCCATTTAAAGCCAAAGAGATTTCCACATGTGGATATCAGTCTCACACGCAGTACTGGGGGCCAATCAGTCACCATGGGATCCCATGGAGAAGGTAACGCCAACCAATATTTTCCACAAATAAAAAAAAAGAAAAAAAAAAAAAAAAAAAAGGAAAAAAGGGAAAAAGATATTTCAGCAAACAAAGCGAAATTCATTTTCGCTAGAGAGAATGAAACCAACACACACACACACAAAGGGAAGGGAATGAGAAAAAGCGTCAGAGGAGAAAGCATGTCGCGGCAAACGGAATTGAAAATTCAGTGCAAATGTACGTGTGTGTGTGTGTGTGTGTGTGTGTGAGAGTGTGCTTTTCCGCATATCCATGTCTGGCCCAAAACAGCGTGGAGAGAGACAGAGCTAAAAACATATCCGTGGGATACATGTAATGCCGGTAAATGAAATCCGCTTGTCGCTGCCTCGGATGCCACACTCCGCTGTATCTGTACATGTGTGTGTGAGTATGAGAGAGAGAGCCACACACACACACACACTCTGGTATACACAAACACTCACTCATTCATTCACTCACTCATTCATTCAATGCTCATATTTGAAATTCAACTGCGATGGCGATGCGATGACAACGGTGTCTGCCACACACACACACACACACACGCACACACACAACCATAGACCTCCCCCCTCGACACACGACTCACGACTGGACCGTGTTTTGTCCGTTTATTTTCTGGCCGGCCCCGTATCTGGTATCTGTGTATCTGTGGTTCAGCTATGGATTTTTCAATCCCCGATATCCATTTGTCCGCCCCAATGTCCGCACAGAAGATTTGCACATTAAGCGCCCCAACACACACTCACACAGGAACATACACAAACACGGATACGGATACGGATGCAGATACAGATACTCTCACCCATACACAAACGGAATAATGAATATTTGCCAGCCACCACCTCCGGCAGGGAGGAGCAGGCCCTGCTCTTGTTTTTCACGTTTTTCCCACCAACTGAACTTGGCGTTTTTTCCAATTAAACGAACACCGTGGAAGCTCTCGCTGGATGGCTGCTGGATGACCATTGAAATGGACACTGGCATTGCCACACTGCCACAGCCACAGCCACACGGACATTGCAATATTTTAAAATCACACATTATTCAAATAAATTTTTAACATTTTCTTGCATTGCATGTTTGGGGATTTTTGTCGCAGCTCGTTCCAGAGCCATGTTTCATGGTTTGCGTTTTTCTCCTTTTGTTGTAATTAATTTGGGCAATATGGGGCCTGGGACGCAACCTGTTTGTGGGCTGAACAAATTCATTTTGTAGCATTTTTAAACGGAGTATGTTGTGGTACTATCGTTTAGCCTTACTTCTGATTTAGTCCTAATTTTTATTCGTTGATTGTGTTGTGAGACTATATGCTGGGTTAATCCTATGTAGCAATCATACTAGTATATCTTAAAAGGGAAATAATATCCATTCTCCTAGTCTTTGATTATCCCTCAATTATTTTATTTAATATTTCGAAAAGCTTTTCAAAAATGTGTGTCTTTTTTGGGTATCATGGAAAATTAAATAGTTTTATTTATAAAATTTGTATAATCCTGCTGGGTTTTGTAATCTTATCAAAATCAAGTAACAAAATATCTCTCAAGTTGAGTTCAACTTATTTCAAGTCCCCAGAAACTTATCAAAGTCCAAGGAAATTTAAAATAATTGATTTGATTATTTTATGGAAGATAATCTCCACTCTACTTGCATGGATTTCGTGTTCATCAACAACAGAGAACTGGACCCATCAATGATCTCATTGATTTTCTTTTGTATAGCACAAACTCGAATATAAAAAATAAAACACTGATGTTTCCATGTAAATCAGATGGAAAGGTTTACATAATATACCCCCATAGAGAACTTATTTAATCCACTAATATATTTCCAATATTTAAATCACATTCACACACAAACTTGTAAGCAGAAGTTAAATCTCTTCTCCTTCCCTTGGTACTTACCGTCGGGAGTACGCTTCTTGGGTAGCACCGCCTTGAAGGCAGACATGGGCGCGTAGTCGCGAGGCGATGTCGATGCCGGCGGCATCTGTGGTTGTTGCTGTTGCTGTTGCTGTGGGTGCGTGTGGGTGGGCTGCTGCTGCTGATGGTGATGCCCCAGAGCGGCATCCACCGAGATTTGGGCATGCTGCATTCGCTGGTGGAGCAGCTGGGTGGGCGAGGGTATCGTGGCCATGGCGGTCAGCGCACTGAGATCCCGGACCTGCAGCGATGCGATGGACGATGTGGAGGAGGAAGATGTAGACGAAGACGATTGCTGCTGCTGCTGCTGTTGCTGCTGCGGACTGGCCAGGAAGGGATTGCCGGGAAAGTCGGCGGCAATGGCTGGCTTAAAGTTGCCCAAACTGTAGTCGAGGGGCAGGTGGTGCTGATGGGCGGGCGGTGCCGCCGAGACGGCCGGATGCAGTAGATGCTGGCCCGGATTCGCTTGCAGCTTGGCCACGTCCATCTTGGGCACTGATTGAGTTTTTTTTTTCTTTTAAATATATATATATTTTTTTTTGGAACTAATCTTAGATCCTAACTTTGGTTCTTCTTTGGCTTGTGCACTGGAACTGATTGAAGTTTACGCGACGGCATGGAAAACGGACACGGAAACGAATACGGATACGGAAGCGGTCTGTTCACGCGCACGTCTGGGGAGGAAGTGTCACAGATTTTTGTTCAGCTTCAGCTGGTGATGGTGCTGGTGCTGCTGGCCATTGGAGGAAACTACTGTTGGGTTCGGCGTCATCGAGCGGACTAAACCGTAAAACCTAATCACGGCCTCGATTCCGAGTCCAAGTCCACGTCGAAGTCAGAGTGGAATCCAAATGGAACACAGCGCGTACGGTACTCTCAATGCTGCTGCTGCTGCTGCTGCTGACGCCGGCGCCTGGGCTGAGAGTGAATCTGTGTTTCGACGTCGGATTTGTGCACTTGACTTTCTGTCCGGTACGTTTATCGGAACACCACACGACCGACGCGACGCGACGCTCGCTCGCTGAATTCTCGATTGCGATTTCGCCAAGATTGGAAGAAATCTGGATTTGGTCAGCAGTGTTGCGTTGCGCTCCGCGTCGCAGTGCTGCTTGTTAACGTTGAGAGAGAGCGGGCGCGATTAACGGTTGGTACTTCGGTGGTTTCGGTTTCCGCCCGAGTGTAACGTTTCGAATGGAAGAGAGCAACCAGAGATGGAGAGAGAGAGAGACAGAGCGCCAGTGTACCAGAGAGAGAGAGATGGGTGCGAGTGAAACGGCACTCGACACGTTGCGACAGTGTGAAACGAAATGGAATTGAGAAACACAACCACCATATTGCTGCGCTCTGTCCTGCTCTTGCTCTAGCACTCGCGTGCCATCTCGCTCCGTCACCCCGATTTGAGTTTGGCAACTGAGGCCACGCCCCCCCCGTTCCTTGCCAGACTTTTGAGCTTAATCTGGATTTGGTATGCCTGTTGCTGCTGCTGTTGTTGGTATTTTTAGTGCGCATACCGCTTTGATTCGTTCAAAAATCAATGCGCCGCCAGAGAACGAACAATGGTTTCGCTCTGGATCGTATGGGGGTTGGGTTGGGGTTGGGGCTGGGGTTGCGTGTTTGTTGGCCTTTGGTTTTAACTTCATGCCAAATGGTTAGTAAGGGGGGGGTGAGCGGACAGTGGGCGGGCGTTCAGGGTGGTGTCTCGATCTTTTGTGGCCATCCATCGATTTGTGGTAATCGCTGTTGTCTTCTAACATTTCAAGTGCTTCACGCCATTTAATTTCAAGTGCTGCCACACTGCCACCCACCCACCCCCCAGTAGCGGCACTCAAGTACCACACCGCAAAAACTTTCACACTTGTACATGGCCACATAGCACATACATATGTACATAGCTATAGCTATAGCATATTTCTATCCCCCAATTACATTTTCGCTTTGTGTGTGACTTTGAGTTGGCATTCGCGATTGGTTTCTGGCCATAACATCAAATGGTTTCCTTCCTTCCCCCCCAGCCCCATAAAACGAGGTGGATTCAATGGTATTCAACGTGGCGGCTAAGTGATTTTAGTTGGGAGAATATCAACAGAAATGCTGATAGAAGTTGGATAATAATAGCACTAGGGAGAGTCATTCCAGAGAGACTCTTTGGAAAATATCTACGTACAAATCTTTTATCTATTGGTTAGTTCTGGCTAAATGTTCTTGCAGATACAGACAGAGGATGATCTATGAAATGTTTTCCATTATATTTTTAATGGTTCTTTTTATTAAATATAAAGAAAGATTCTAGAATCTAGACCCATAAACTGTTGTCATTGCCATAAACATAAGACAACTGGCTTTGAGTATTTCTTAACATTAAAACTTGCACTTGGCTGATAAATTTCCTGTTGAATCTCTTACATTAATCTTTTGCATTAAGAATATGGATACTCAAACATATTTGGGGGAAGTTGCAGCCACATTAAATGCCCTGAGATTGACCTAGAAAGCGCCCCCTAAATTGTAATCTCTTCCAATATTTCCCTGCCTGCTAGCTCTCCATATTCATGATGAGAATTACCGCACAACAAGTCAGAGATTTCTCATGGATCCAACTATAATGCAACCCCAAACGTTTTTTCTTAGTTTCTAAGCTTTGGGGGGAGACTGTTCTTTTTTTTTCTTGTTTGAACAAAGCTTTTTGTGTCCCATAAATAAGAAATTTTTGACAGGCATCTAATTTTTAAAAACTCATGCATTTAATTGCGACATTAAAAGCACAACTTCGAGTACAAATATCCAGTGGCAGTGGCAGTGGCAGTGGCCGTGGCAGCTCCCCAGTAGCAGATCCAGATCTCTCCCCAAATAAAGCGAGACGGCGTCTGGTGGATGGGCGCACATGTCGCCTCGATGTTGTTGTCGCCGTCCCCCATCTCGGAATTATGACAAATATTTACAAACACACAGAGCTAATGTTCCCATTTCAACGGGCACATAAATAAGTGTTGCGAGTCCGTCCCTTCTTGCCCCGCGCTCCATTCGTTAGGTCTCGTCACAGATTTGAATATCCAGATCCCAGCTTCGGGAGTGGAGTATTTGTGTCACTTAGTTTTTGGCCAACACATGGCAACGATTTAAAGAATTACACACTAAATTTAGTACCGCGAGGCTCGGAGCGTGGAGTGTGTGGAGTGTGAACAAAATGAGGTCTGCTCTGGTGCAGATTCCCCTTTGGTTTGGTTCCATTATTCCCACTGTCACTCCGCCAAAGATCCAATTAGAGAACTACAAATCTGGCTGACATGCAGAATCTTTCGGGGAGTGACGTGCATCCATTAAGATCTGAAAGAATGCAGGGAACTAGGGAAGAGATTAAGATGTTTGGGGCGGCAAGTTGGTATAGGTTATGTGCCAATTCTTTGGCACGATCTTATGTCTAGTAAATTCCTATAATTATCGCAGTAAACGAGGGATTTAATGAAGATCTTAGTTACATATCGGCATATGTAATTGGTTGAAATCCGCTTAACTTTAAAGTTTTAACATCTACAAGGGTGTACAAATTTATTCCACACATTTAAGAGGTAAAGATGATCAGATTTAATTATATTTTACTTAAGACTTTAGGCGCCAAAGTGTAACAAATAAATTATAATGCTTAAAGCATTAAATAGGTCGCATATAATACGTTTAAGAGGTAGTCATCTTCTGCAGGTGTTCTATCTGCAGATCTGTTTACTAAGGAGTATAGAAAAAAATTTGTGTAATATTTGTATTTATTATTATTGCTAATATTCAGTAGTTTGAGCCTTCATAAAAGTAGAAAAATATTCCGAAATTGCTCAAGAATGCTTCCAGGCCCAATCTGCAGATATTTCGATAAATACCAAGTTAAAATTTAAATAAATAAAATTAAATAAAATAAATAAATAAATTAAATTAAATAGTTGTAAAATATCTTGTGGCATTCAATGGTTCTATGGCTATACTCGTATATATATGATACCCATAACGGAACTTACAATGTGTGTTGAAGTCAGACATCGTATATGGTAGGCAGTCTGATAAGTGTATAGCTCAGGTTTTTATTTAAGAACGCTATCTGATAGAACGGCTGCCCTGCCCTGCCCTGCCCATAGAAATGTAAGCAGAAACGTTTCTGTGCGATTCGATGCGATACGATTCGGAAAGCGATTGGATTCTATGTATGTATGTATATTGCCTGGTTGTAATCATGAGCCGAACTGAACTGAAATGAAATGAAATGAACGTTTACAATGGATAATAAAATATATTTTTGACATGAATTTTCAATCAGAATTTTAATAGCCCTTAATAATAACATGGCTATCAGTTATCAACACACACTCAACAAATCGGTTATCAACGTAATTTTCGTTTTGTTCGCTTTTGGGGACGACAGGGAGTGCATTCCGCCTCTGCCGCCGCCTCTGGTTTATGCAGCCATCGATATAGCCAGACCCGCTAACCGCTAACCGTACGCAGTCGAGGCGATACCAGTCCGGCGATCCATCTACTCGTATTCTGTACCTCTGTGTGGTGGCAATATTCATTCCACCACCGAAGCTATAAACAATTTATTTATAGCTCTTACTCCACTCCACTCCACTCCGCGCTGCTGCGGCGGTGTTCGCTGTTCGCCTGTTCGCCTGTTCGGTGTGTTATTGTTGATTTAGTGCCACTTTATAGATCGATAGGTTGCTGCTCGGACTGCGCTCGTGTGGGCTGGGGCCGGGGCCGGGGCCGTTCTACCAGATGAATCAAGCAGGATGATATCCCCCCCGTATGGAGTTGCCGCTGGATATACTCCGCTGACTGACTCGTGACTGACTTTGAACCGTGGAAAGTGGGGGACGAGCCTCCTAGGCTACTCTGGGTGTGGTGGGGGTCTTATCTAATCATCAGAGCCTCGGTACGCGATGGTGGGTCACAGATCGATTGCGCTGTGCCGTCGATAGGCCCATATATTTAACCTAGAGGCGGCAGATTGAAATAAAACTCCGGTTTTATAGCACCCACAGCCCTCCACACCCCCAGTCCCCCCTCTCTCTCTGTAAGCCATGGGCTGTAACTATATACGAGTAGTAGGAGGAGCACCCCTGCCTTGCAGCACAGATCGAAAGAGTAAACGTAAATGGGAAATACTCGTGTGTGTGTGTGCATATAAATATTTATGACACGATTTATACAAACAGCAATTTGTATTGTAATTATTGACATTGTACGGGTTCCTGCATGCCCAACAATATATAGGGTATCTGCTGCAGGCGATCCTTTCGAATGTAACCAGAGGATATAGCAATAGGAAGCTCTGCTCACGAAGGATCGTAGCATATTTCAGATTATGCTTTAAATAAAATGCAGAAATTGCTAGACCATAAATGGCACATTAATTGATATTTCCAAACATTTCTTTCTCCATTTCAGATGCCTTTTAAGCTTTCTCGCATGAAGCCCCTGTATGGTACCCCCCATCGGATTCCAATAGCTTGCTGGAACTAGCCACTTGGTAGGTGATCGATATTTGTATAATTTACAACATGTAAACGCGACCGACCGACCACCCAATGTAAATAGAGAATGGAGCAGCCGAGAAGTACTCCGTAAAGTACGGCAAAGAGGAGGGGAGTACTTTGTGGATGGCGACACAAAGTCTACCGGGTTAGTGCTCGAATTTATTGATAAGTTGTAATTATGTTTACGACTTCTTTACGTTCTGTTTGCCGGGACTACCTTTGGGGGCCATACGCAGTGCGATAAACTTTCAGATATATTAACCACTCGTAACTCTAACTGTAAGTGTCACTGTCACTGTGGTATTTATTTAATTTGTGTTGGTAGGAACTACTACTCTCTGTTTGGGATTGGGGATCAGTGGAAGTGCTTGCGGATTGATCCACCACTTTAAATTAAGTGAATTAAGGTTTCAGAGACATTTTTTAGTACCGGAAAGCTGCTGCAGCGGAATAATAAATATCTACCACGGATCGAAGACTTCCTCTTCATTTTCAATATAAGGCCTAGATCTATAAATACCCTTGGTTAAAAATAGCCACATTTTGGGTGCATAAAGAGGTAAAAATTATTTATTTATAATATTTAACTATTATTCTAAGCTACAAATATATTTTCTTTTTTTTTTAGCTGGATAATATTCTAAAACATTTCCCCAAGTCGGAAATTATCCTGGTTTGGGTAAGAAGATTACTTTTACCATCAAATAATTATTCAGCTTTAATGTGCAATGCACAAATCGATTATTTATGCACTTAAATTGAGCCTGTTGACCCGATTTCCGTGTATTTATAACAGTTTCCGTGTTTTCCTAACCCCTCCGCACAATATCTAGAGAAACAGACACAACAGAAACTCAGAAAAATAAATAGAAAATGAAGAAGAAAAACTAAACCAAAAGGGGGGAAGTGAGACAGAGAGGCGCAGCGAGAAAGAACAACAGAAGAGTGTCCAAAAGCTAATTACCAAACAAACGAAACTCGATTGAATCGATTGATTTTCGATTCGTGGCCAGATAAGCATAAGCAACCATTGCCCCGATAAAGATTTGTTATCACTGAAAACAGAGGCGCAATCGCAGTCAGCACTCCCACTAACACACCCACCCCCCAGCAGCCCCTCCTCCTCCACCGCCGCACAAGGCCCCACCATGCGCAGTGGCGAGTGAGCGGTGATTGGATTGCACCAATGTCGTGTGGGAGGAGCCGGCCCCACAGTGGAACCCCCAATTGGTGGCCTCCGCGTCCAGCGTCCGTGGGTGGGAACGAGAGGTGCGAGGGGCCACACGTTGGTTTGTGTGTGCGAAAGGAGCACAGCCATATGCCGAAAAAAAAACAAAAATATAATAAAAAATATATAAAAATAAAAAACCGAAAGATAACAAAACACTACAAATGGCAGAGCCATGTTCTGGGCGGAGCCATCGGTTTGGGGGGGCCTTCTGCTCCACCAAATCAAGGTAAAACAAATAGAAATCGAACAAATATATTTGCGCACCGCACTTTCTGCTTTATTTAGTTAGCAGAACCCAAAAAAAATACATAGCATAGCACTCTATATGTCCGATGCAGCTACATATACCTATACCTATACATGTGTACACCTGGCCTGTCGCTCCGCTTCGCTTTTAAATAATTAAATAGTGATTTCAATGTAAACAGTGAATGGGGCTCTGCATGCAGGTTTCCAGCTCCCAAAAGCAATCAAAGGAGAGTTAAATGCACAAAATATTCAGTCCGTATTGAACAGGGTTTTTCTTTTGATATTTATGATTTACGGACAGCCGTTCCGTTTGATGGAATTCCATTAAATTTAACATTTCATAAATTGAACATTCATTTGGGGAATTTTAAAGGTATCAGGTGTCTTTTCCAAGTAAATCCAAGCCCATTCAAGGTTGGAGTTTAAAAAATATGTGAGTGCGCTCTATTATGAGAATATGTATTAAATGATTATTGCTTTCATCATTATTTATGGCAAAAGATTAATTAAATCAGCTTAATTTCTATGGGTATAGTACCTATTGGTATTGTATCGTTTAACTGGTTTTATTTTAATTCAGAGAAATTAATAAATCACTTAAAGCTCCTTTAGTGTGAGGGATTTACCTTAAAACGTACTTTAACATCTGCTTCAGTCGAAATTAAAATTCTGCCTATCGTTTAGACAGAAACAGTTAAGAATGATTGTTAAAATTATGCAAAACAATAGAGACTATCAATCCGTTAACTACGTACAAGGACCAAAACATTGAGTATACGCAAACTTTTGATCGACGTTAAGAAACTGCCGTGTTGTCAGTACTGTTTTGATTGTTTAACACGTTTTATTTTATAATAACCAGAAAGTGCACACTATATTATTATACGAGGATAAGGTGCTCCTATCTCTACTCAACTGACTTGAAGAAAGTCATCGTAATAGTTACGAAAAATGCTTGAAAATATTGTTGTCTTGGATAGGAAAACTTCATTTGTTCTTGCTACAAAATGAAGACGTCCATTGCATAGCTGATCCCAAAAAGTTAATTTGATAAAGATCTGACACAATAATTATAACAAAACACCCATTTGATTATTTGAGTCTAAATTTAGATCGCAAGACGTTGAAGGGCTCCGCTCCTCCTGCTTGCATTAATTGTCCAGTGGGGCAGTCAGAATCCAGATAATTAACATTTGTCCATTGTCAAAAGTGTCAAGGCGGTTAGTTCAAAAAGGCAACTGCAACGGCAGCTCCAGTCCCAGTCTCAGACTCGGCTCCATCTGGGCTGATCTCACGCCTCCGCAGGGTACGAGTATCCGAGTATCTATATGGAGAGTACTCGTTAAGTATCTGAGGCTCAAACTGTGGATGGGTACGGGCTCGTTGTGCAATTAAGTGAAACCACAAAAACAACAGAACAGAATGTCTGATAGGATGGGATGGGAGACTGAGAGACACCCGCACAAAAGCCAAACTGTTGATGATGTCATATGTGCATAAGCCACTCATCTGTGTATATGTGTGTGTGTGTGTGTACTATTTGCAACCACTGTTAGATGATCAACAGTAGCAGCACCCAAAGTTGGAATCCAAATTCATGTGCTCATTAATTTATCCAGCCAGCCAGCCAGCCAGCCAACCAACCAACCAGCAACAGCAACCAACACACAGCAGAGAGCAGCACATAGATGGAAGCATGGGCATGGCAATGCATGCGATGGACATCTCCTTCGTCTCACTGTGTAATGCACTCGTATGCGTATCTCATGGATAATTGTCTGGGCCGAGACGAGACGAGACGAGAGTATCGTATCTGTTGCGCTGTTGCCCCCGGAATCTAGACAGTGTGGCCAATTTAGTCTGCTTTGGCAAATCAATTAAATTCAATTAATCCCCCAACACTCTTAATGGAACGTAATGAAAAGGGTGACATGACTACGATGCGGCTACAGTATCTCTATCTGTATCTATATCTATATATCTGTGGCTGTGGCTGTACGAATGGCAACGCCAACGGATACATGACGTTCCGGACACCAATGCCCAGGCCCAGGCCCAGGCCCAGGCCGAGGCCCAAGCTCAAGCCAGACCGGATCGGACTGGTGACTGCTGACTGCTGACTGGTGACTGGAGCCGAGTTGGGTTTGATTGAGTGAAAAAAATCGCATGACTGAAACGATTTGACATTCACACTGTTCACAAAAAGTGCACAAAAGAAATCAGATAAAGAGAGATATATAGAAGGGGAGCTCACAAATCATTGGAATATCTGGAAAATAAATGGAATATAATTTCTGTATATTTTCTTTTCACTATTTTTGGAGTAACTCCCTTAATAGTTTATCTCCCCCATTGTTCTTTCAGTGCATTGCACATTTCTTTCGCTTTTATATTGCTTCCCACAATGCCCCAACGCTGGGGATTCGCATTGGTTAATTGTAAAAAATATATCGGCCTGCCGGTTCCCCGAGTTTTGATTCAACATCGTCGCAACACTGCACAAAATGTTTCTCACGCTTCGGAGTTTGACATTTTCGAACTTTTGCATGATTTCAAAAACTTAATTGTTTTTAACTGTTTTATTTGTCTTTTACGCTTACATTTGATGGAGCTGAAAGGAGAAAAGAAATTGGGAGCAGAAGTCGTAAGTGTAATTGCGGTGGTTCATGGAAATGGAACCACAGCCAGAGGAACTTTGCTGTGGAAGGGAGATGAATTGGAGATGATAAAGTTGCTTAAAGGGATATAAAGTTGGAATTTGTTTGAAAAAAATTCATGCTAGAAGAAAGCTCGAAGAACTGACCCATGAAAGTGCGAAAAACTAGAAGAGATTGCTTGGGAAATACTCTTTAGATTATATCAGAAGAAAGCTAAAATATATAAGATATTAGGCAACTAATCTCAGTGAAAGAATTTAAGAGAGAGAGGCTTCATTAGGGGATAAATCATTTGGAGTTTTAATAAAGATTAGAAATGTTTTTCAAAGGGAGCAGGAGTGTCCAAGAGTGTTTAATATGGGGCATTAAGTTTGGAATTATATAGCTTGGGTTAATGCCAAGAAATGAGGAAACTATAGGAATTTAGATATGAAACATTTAACACTTGGGAGGGAGTCTAAAGAAGTTCAAGTTCAAGCGTCGAGTTAGGGTTTACGTACCACAAAAGTTAAGTACTCATTGTGTATTGTATTTATTGTGTGTTACCTTTGTCATCAAATACATACATATGTATATGTATTTATTTATGAGAACTGTTTGCGTAATTGTATCCTTTCACTGCCCTGATGGGGCAGTTTGTGCTCTTCAACAATGTGCCCAAAAACAATCATTTAAACCGTTTAATGCCAAAACAAAATCTGATAATCTGAAAATTACCCACAACAGGAGCGAACGCCTACTGGCACTCGTACTCGTACACGACGCTGACAAAAGGGTTGGCCCAACCCCCAAAACATTTTTCGGAGCAGAACAAAGCTTTGAAACAATTTGGCAAAATCATGAATAAATTTTGCGGTTAAATTGTTGCATAAATACGAGAGTATTAGATCAGAGCACAGCAGAGCAGAGCAGAGCGGAACAGAAGGCGCACGTGGCACCGGGCCAACATACGGTAGCCCTATAATTATGGGATAATGTCGGAGTTCGATCCGGATGATGGGGTTGGGGAGCTGCTAAAGGGGTGGGAGTCACTGGGAGATTGGGATCAAAGGGTAAGTCTCGGCAACATTTGGCAACCTACGACAAGGCAACAAGGCAACAAAAGGAACAATCAGCGCCGCAAGGCGTCATTTCCATGGCCCTTATCCCCTTATCCCCGTATCCCGTATCCCGAGTCCCGAATCCCACATCCTGCCTACTGTTTTGTGGTTCCCTGTGCCTGCCGCACACCCTTTTTGTAATCGCTTTGCTCACGCCTCAGTTCACATGTGACAATATAATAACAACATCCACAACTCGGGGGGTTGTGGGCCAAGAAACACACAGGACACAGAGAGAGCCACCAGAGCCACCAGAGGCTAATGGAAATGAAACAGACTTACGCGAAATGCAACAAATTGAGCAGCGAACCTCAA